GCATACTGACTACATTGCTTAGAAGCCTGCATTTCAAGTCAGCTAGAAGTTTTGTAGACTTGTCACAGTCAAATGTTGTGAACTTGGCAGGGTGAGTTCAATTTATTTGAGTTTATCTGCATGTAATTCCTTTGCAATGGGTTACTTGCTTGAAGTCTTCTTTTATAGTTCTTCTGGAAGGTGGCCTGAAAAAAGGAAATACTGAAACGAAGAGAACCTGGGCATTCGTCGTCACTGACCACTTTAGAGAAGACCTTGGCTGTACTCTAATATACTGAATTGTATTTAAGGAGTCCTATGTGGACCATATTGAATATGTATCCTTAGGACTTCACATGTCCATCTGTATTTTTTACATAGTGCTACAGGCCTCAGGGCTGTGATTTTGTATCAAACTTGCTTTCACTGTGTTACCATTATATATTTATACACTAGGCCAGGTGGCAGCTGCCGGAGAGCCCAGGGTTCGTGCCAGTCCCACCAGTGAGCCTGGGCGTCAGGTTCTGCAGGTTCTGCAGGTTCTGCACATGTTTCCAAGGAAGCGTTATGCTTTTCACTGTGTTACCATTATATATTTATACACTGGGCCAGGTGGCAGCTGCCGGAGAGCCCAGGGTTCGTGCCAGTCCCACCAGTGAGCCTGGGCGTCAGGTTCTGCAGGTTCTGCAGGTTCTGCACATGTTTCCAAGGAAGCGTTATGCTTTATTCGATTACAAAACTGGTACCATATCCACAGGATTATTGTTAGGAATGACCATGGGGCGGAAACATCCTTACATATAGCAGGACGAGGCAAATGGCTAAGCAAATGAAATTTGAGCGCGCACGCGGGGGAATTCTCCTGGCGGAAGGATACATGATAAGCGGGAGAGTCGCAGTGCCTCATGAGAGCCGAAAGATTCACACCAGGGGTGGAACGCAAGCCCTCCCCTCCTTCACAAGGTCAGACAGATAACACCATCTGGCAGTACTGTCTCACGGTCTCCCTAGCATTGTTTACAGCAAGCGGCAGAGCAGCACGCATGCCAGGATCAGAGACGGGAACAAGCAGAACATGGCAGCTAGCTGACATCGGGAGCCTGTTGGGCTGGGCAGTAGCTGCAGGAGAGCCCAGGGGCCCGCTGGCTACCAGAGAGCCTGGGGGCCCTGCTGGGTTCAGCAAGAATGTGTGTAGGTGGGATGGGATTCCTCCTGTGAGTTTCATCACCACCACCCCACTTGCACATTTTATATTTATGTTCAAGTCAAAATCAAACACAAACTAATTTAAGCCAGGTGGATGAAAATGCCCTCAGAGGTTGATAAGTCACATATTAATCCAAACTTTAACATCAAGCAACCACCTTTGACCAACCACAGAGGGTGGAAGATTATGTACATCGAAGAAGAAGAAGAGGAGGAGGGGGAGGAGGAGGAGATGACTGGATTTATACCCTGCCCTTTACTACCCAAAGGAGTCTCAGACGGCTTACAATCTCCTTCCCTTCCTCTCCCCACAACAGACACCCTGTGAGGTAGGTGGGGCTCAGAGAGCTCTTTCGAGAACTGCTCGTGAGAGAACAGCTCTGAAAGAACTTGTAACTGACCCAAGGTCACACCAGCAGCTGAATGTGGAGGAGTACAGAATCAAACCTGGTTCTCCCAGATTAGAGTCTGCGCTCCTAACCACTACATCAAACTGGCTCTCTAGGTTTCCTAGCCTTAAATACTTCTCTTTCCTATTCCAACATTGCACCTTCCAACTTGTTCCCAAGGTAAAAGTGGAAAGCACAAGATATTTTAGTCTTGCAGAATATAAATAGGCCTGGCTTTGGTATATGCTAGATTCCTGGAAAATCTACTATTTTGAGGACAATAAGGCTATGAAAAGAGCCATTAATACAAGT